GCCCCTAGTGGCGTCCCTTGACACACGGAGCTGTCTCTTACCCGTGGACTGATTTGGTGGCTGATGTCTTGGGGGTTCAGCTGAGGCTGTCTGCGCTCTTGGGGTTCCCTCATTCTGCACTGTAGCAGCACAGAGGGCTCCTCCTCTATCTGTTACGAACTAGGACCTTTAAAAGCAGCGTAAAGACAACTAAAAGAGTCCCTACCCCCAAGAGTCCTTTCTGTGTGCCAACACACTCAACTTTAAGCTCCTCTTAACTCGGCACGTCCTCCTCTCCAGGTATCGGAGTCCCCATCATGCTGGCTTACGTCTATGGTGTGGTGCCGATCTCTCTGTGCCGAGGCGGGGGCTGTGGAGTCAGCACTGCTAACGGAAAGGGGGTGAAAATCGAGTTTGATGAAGATGATGGACCAATCACAGGTAATGTGATAACTGGTGAAGGGAAGAGGATGAAGCCAGACCCTGTCGCTGCCTCCTCTAATGAAGCGTAGGGGATCTTAGCACTTCCCAGCTCTGAACATCTGTCTTTACCTGGGTTTGCCTGGAAGCAGTTAGTGTGGAAGCAGCTGTCTAGCTCTCAAAGCAAAATCTCAGCCCTTCCTCGCCCAGGAGGAGGCAGGGAGGCAGTCAGAGACGAGGCACCTGCTGTCTAGCCCCCAGCTCTGCCAGCGCCGTGGCAGCCCAACAGTTCCCTGGCTGATTCTGATTCCCGTGCTCTCTTCCCCGCAGTGGCCGATGCCTGGCGGGCACTGAAGAACCCCAGCATTGGCGAAAGCAGCATCGAGGGGCTGACCAGTGTGCTGAGCACCAGCGGGAGCCCCACCGACGGCCTCAGCGTGATGCAGGGCAACTACAGCGAGACAGCCAGCTTTGCTGCCCTCTCGGGAGGCACCCTCAGCGGCGGGGTCCTCTCGGGAGGCAAGGGCAAGTACAGCAGGTAACTGAACTGATGGGCACAGCCAGCAAAGGGCAGAGGCTCCCAAGGCCTGTGTTGGCTGAGCAGGCTTATTTTAGGGAGCTTCCCAGGACTGTGAGTGGCCCTTGGTGCACCTGAGAGTTGTGTCCTAGTATTTTTGTGTCTTGGTCTGTTGTAGAATAACCAGTCCCAGCAGACCAGGTTACTTCTGGAGTCAGTGCTAGGCTGGTTCTTACGAGGAGGACAAGAGATAAGTTTCTGTCCCTACTGAGCTCCTTGAAAGTGCAGAGCTGATGCTTCAGCTTAACTGGGAACAGCGCAGAGATGCCTGCGTGGCCTTAAAGATCTTCCAGTCCTCTGATCTCAGCCCAGAGGCCCTGATGTTTCCTATTCTCCAGTGGCCCATAGCAAGCAGGGTCGCTGCTTTCCAAGTCAGGAGGTTACACCACACTTTTCCTCTAAACTTGCCTGTGAGTCAGTTCGCTGGGTAATTAGAGACACGAGTTGATATGGCAGCCAGGATATAATCATGGCTGTGTGCTAGATCTGTGGAATCCTGTTCTTCGCAGGAATTGCATGAGTCATAGAGATCAACACAATTTTACATTCGTCATGGAAAACAGAATGGGTTTACCGAAACGGAGCCAAAATTGAGACTAAATGAGAGGAACCATTGGGGTTAAACTCTGTCATGCTGAGCTGGGCCAGCACAGAGGGCCTCTTGCTTTCCCATGATGAACAGCGACTGTTTAGTGCCCCTCAAGGATCATCGAAGGCATTTCTGAGAAATCCTTTTCTTTCCTGCAGGCTGGAAGTTCAGGCAGATGTCCAGAAGGAGATTTTCCCCAAAGACTCGGTCAGCTTGGGGGCTATCAGCGACAACGCCAGCACTCGAGCCATGGCTGGTTCCATCATCAGCTCCTACAACCCCCAGGACAGGTAGGAGGACGTGTGGTGGTGAAAAGAGTGTTGGTAGTGGGTGTCCTGCAAAAATCTGCTCTGCAAGGTGCTGCTGTGGGTGGTGAGACGACTGTAGTTGCACCAGCTCTGCAGCTGGCAAGTGGATTGATCCTTTTACTTGCACACAAGGACAACTGGGGACAATTTGGGAGCAGCTTCCATGTGCAGTGTGGAGGCTGAGGAGGGGGGATCTGCAGCCCAGGACTCTCAAGGTCTGTTCCTGGCTGCTCGTGGGGACTCTGGTGGTTTCCCAGTTGAGTTCCTGGCTCAGCCTGGGGACGGTTTGGCTGCCCTTAAGAGGACTCAAGGAGAGCAGCGAGTGCTGCTGTTTCCCAGATGCTGTGGGGTGATGAGCAGCATCCTGCTCATGTTTGGGAAATGTGATCGTCCCGGTGCAGTGATGCAGTGCCCAGTGGTAACCCAGTTGAACCCAGTAACTGTACCCAGTAACTCAGGGGTGCTTGTTTTTGCAGGGAGTGCAATAACATGGAGATCCAGGTGGACATCGAAGCCAAACCAAGTCACTACCAGCTGGCCAGCGGCAGCAGTACAGAGGACTCTCTGCATGTCCACACCCAAATGGCAGAGAATGAAGAAGAGGAGGAGGACGACGATGACGAAGAGGAGGAGGATGGCGAGCAGGAGCAGATGTGCAAACACCAAAGCTGTGAGCAAAAGGACTGCATGGCCAGCAAAACCTGGGACATCACCCTGGCCCAGCCTGAGAGCATACGGAGCGACCTGGAGAGCTCCGACAGTCAGTCGGACGACGTGCCAGACATTACCTCGGATGAGTGCGAGTCCCCCCACCCTCAGACTGCGGCAGCCTGCCCACAGACCCCCAAGTCTAGAGGCGCCGAGAGCCCAAGTGCCCCCCTGAGCCACTGTGCCCAAGCCGAGGGCTGCAGGCTGGAGGAAATAGTCAAACTGGAGTGCATCGAAGCCAGAGTATGAAATGGCCTCCTGCTGAAAAGCACACTTGCTGTCGTTGCATTTTTTTGGGGGCAGGGTTGTGTCTGTGTTGGCTTCTGTTTGCGATTCTCCAGCTGGTTCCCCAGCCTCGCCTCGGGGAGTTGCTGTTTCTTACGTGACAAAAAAGAAAAAGGAGGAAAAAAAAAAAAAAAAAATCCCCCGCCCTCTTTTTGTTTTAATTTATTGGTTCAAGCTCTGTGAGGTGTGTAAGAGTGTAAATATGTACGTGTGTCTGTATGTCTGCAAACATCCTAAGGGACTATTTGAATAAAGACTCTGGTTGTCATTCGACTCGCATCCAGCTCGTCCTTTCCGACGATGTTCGGTGAAATCCTCCAGCTGCCTCTGCTTAAGCGTTTGTGAAGGCTGCCCCAAGCCCAAGGCGTGGGGGAAAGGGCGGCATCTCCTCTTCTGGCAGAAAGGGGGGTGTGACAGCCTTGTTCTGCCTGCAGTGGCCGTGGGGACAGGGTGTGTGTCACCTGTGGCTGCAGGGGCTGGACCTGCCTTGTCCTGAAGCTGTGGCAGGGCTGGGAGTGTTCCCTGTGCTCGCTGCACAGGTTATGGGGGGGAAAGGACGGGGATTCACGCTGTGCCGAGCCAACTTCCCAGTGTTGTGAGGTGTGAGGGGTCTGAAGGGGCCAAGGTCTAGCCTGGGGGCTCAGGTGGGACATTATTATTCTGGTGAGAGGCCAGGAGCCAGGGCTGTGTTGCTGTCCCTGGAATTGTTGATGCCTCGTGTCTGCAATAAGCTTTTTCAGTGTTGCTTAGCGAGGATCTCTGAGCCAGGGAGGGCTCCCCTGACCCCTCTGCTTTTCCCTCTCTCTGCAGGTTGATCCCCGGTCCCTGACGGTGCTCACCTCTGCCTCATGGTCCAGCAGCATCCCCCTCCCAGACCCTCAGCCCCTGGCCTTGGATGTGCCTGGCCGGATCCCAGCCTGCTGCCATCGCTTTAGCGTGGACTGACCTGAGCGTGCTGGGGCGGTGGAGAGGGATCGGATGGATGGAGAAGTGACGTGGTGTATCCCCACGGCAGCAAGGGGAGTGCAGGGGTGGGGACGGGGTTGTGGTTCCCCTCGGCGGAGGCAGGCGAAGGTGGAGTTACCCCTCTGTCCATCCCGGGGAGCTGGTCCGACAGGAATTGGGGTGCAGCAGGTGAGCAGCTCTGGTGGCCTGGTCCTGGTCCCAGTCCCAGCCTGGACACGCAGGTCCCAGCTGCCAGCCCGAGGGGCTCTGGGGGCCCGATCCTCGCCTGGTGAAGATGTGCCGAGTGGGTGAGTCTGGGTCTGGCGTGGGGATTGCGGTGGGAGGGTGGCCCGGCCCTGCGGCTCCGGCACTGCCCTCCTGAAAGGAAACGGAGGCAGGGAGGGGGGGAAGCTGGGGGGTTTGGATGGGCTCAGGGCCGGAGCTGGGTGATGGCGGGTGCATGAGGAGAGCAGCCCTGGGGTGGGTCCTGATGGGGGAACAGCCCGGCTGCTGCTGTGGCCACTCAGGTGCCAAAACCCAGCGCTGGAGCTGCCGTTTACAGGCAGCTGCTCCCCCCAGAGCTCCCTCATCGCTCCGGGGAGCCCCGGCCCTTCCCAGCCCCATCAGGGTCGCCCATCTCCGCAGCTGCTGGCCCCACGCTGCCGCCCCGCTCCCAGCAGAGCCGGCTGGAGCCGCGGTTTGCATACCTGGGCTGCCTGCGGCTGCCTCCCTCCCCATCACCTCCTGCTTGTCCCCCAGCCAGCACGGGGCACGTCCTCTGGGGTGTCCCCAAATGCCCCGTGACTGTGCTGAGCATGGTGTAAGGGCAGGAGGGACGGCTCAGCGCCGGCCACCCCACACCGTGCAGCATCCTTGCCCAGCCCTCTTCTCCCCTCCATCCCAGGCCACCTCGATCCCGGCAGCCACCGAAGGGTCCTCATGAAAACGGGCCTCATCCTCCTCATCATCGGGCACCTCAACTTCATCACCGGCGCCCTCGTCCACGGCATCGTCCTCCGCTTTGTGGTCAACCCCCGGGACGCCGTGTCCTTGCAGTATGCCGTCGCCAACACCGCCTCCATCATCTCTGCGCTGCTGGTACCGCGGGGTGCAGGGTCTGTCTCTTATACACA